AGGTCACGGAAGGCGTTATTGTGTAAATACTCAAGTGTTTTTTTTTCAAGCTGCCGAATGGTAAGTGCTTCTGGATGCAGGAGGCGCCATGTCAAACGGCATTAACATATTATGTACACAAGAGTGCATTCCAAAATCATCCCTTCCACCAAATAAAGTGGAGAGAGAAAAAAAGGATCAGTAAAAACCAAAGTGCATGAGCATAAATAATTCCAAAAAGTAATAAATTAAACTCATGCATGGTCAGATTTTGGCATCGAACAACGAGAGCCTTTCATATGGGTAGGAGAGAGAAAGGGAGGGAAATCAATGCCCGGACAGGAAATTGAAAAACGGATAAAAGTTCCAAATTTGAAATTATGGTCGTCAAAGTCAATTCATTTCAATGACACTGCGGTGTTGTACTCTCTACCCTTCTTCATTTCGTATAACTAACAACTGAATGGACTCGGTTTGGAATGCCAAGGAATTGATCAAAGAATGATGTCCAATAAATTTTAATGCACATTTCATAAATTCTCAAATAAATTGAAACGCAATCGCTATGAATGAATATTTTAATAACGAAATTTTCTTAAGAAACTTCGACATAGGATAAAAAAAACCAGCTTTTCGTCGTTAGAATTGGTCACGAATAAAAAATGCGACAAATTATTATCAAACATGTTGAAATTCATCAGTGCTGTGTTTTTCAATGCGTTGCAACTCATCGTGCAATTATATTTGCTATTCAAATAATGTTCATTACGAAAATTGCGTCTTCCGATGACAGTTTAGATTAAATTTGATATATTTTCTGTTGATTTGATGATACTTTTCAGAGAAGAGTGTCTTCATTGCTCAAGTCTCAATTCTCAATTTAATATTGAAGAGAGATTTCAATTTATATTTGTCATATCAAAGCTCAGGTTGCCCGCGTGCGTACTTGGTTCGAATGAATATAAAGTGCTTCCATCGTTGGATCCATCTGCATTCATGTCATTTTTTTTTCTCATAACCATAAGCATAGCATAACGCAAGACAAATGGAATATTTCAATGGTTAGATCTGTCTTGAGTAAGACACGAGGGTCAAAATTGAATTAAGCTCGAAACACACTTCAGCATTAATTTGTTGAACGAAGCCGACATTATGAGTCTGTTGCCCGGGAATATGGTTCGGAAATTATACTTTTTAAATTCTATCGACATGAAAGCGATTTTATTCTTTTGATGGTGTCGAGTATATGCCGGGAAAATATTTTCTGATGGATATAAACGATTGCATTTCATTATTATAGCTCGAAAACGATTGATAACTTCATTTATATTTGCGCATATTCTATGCATTATAAAATTATCTTACAGAAAATATCCGCCCGAAACATGTACACCAGCTCAGGCACAATTGTTCCACGGACAAAGAACCAATGCTCTGACATTTATAAAATACGCACTCCCAAATCGAATGAATTTCATACTAGCGAAACCATAATGTCTGCGATGAAGAATAATCGGTCCATTGAGAGACAGTGAAGAATATGAAAATTAGCATCTGTTATGATGAGACAGCTGTGCGAACGCTTCGTCCACTTCTAATGCAATTAATCTTGTTTTTGTAAAATGAAATTTTATTTGTTTTGCGCGCATGAGAGAGAGAAAAAGATAGAGATAGAGACTGAAATTGCGGTAATTGGTTTACGACCGAAAATATAGAAGTACGCTCGATTCCATTGGTTGCTGCGAAATTGCATCATGTCTGGCAATTTTTAGCACTAAATGAAAATCGACAAGAAACATAGGCAAATTACACTTTACTAATTTTGTTCACGACTAATCAATGCAATGAATACATTAGCAACACGCTAATTTATTCGACAGAATTGGCTCCAATTTGTTGCGCTCAACAAGTTACGCTCTTTTTTTTTATCTGATCTAATTACATCTACTCGAGTGTTTCCACCACCATTGTGTATGGCAGCTTATTTTTTTTTTTGTTATTCTGTTTTTCAACTGTTAAAACGGGAAAATTTAATACTCTAGACAATCTATTTCAAAAGAATTTTTGACGAGAAAATTGAACGAAAATCTATGGAATGAAAAAAGATGGAACAAAGCATCGTGTTTTATTTTGCTCTTCGCCCCTTTCTCTCTCTCTCTCTCTCTTTGTGTGTTGTTTGAAGCTTTTGAAAATTGCTATTTGGATTATCCTCAATGATGCTCTTGTCAGTTTGAACCTCGGTCTTAGCACCTTTTGCTGTTAGAAATGGGCGAATAACGCTTTCTCATTCAACGTGTGAAAATTGATGTGCGAGCACACACAACAATGTCAGTCATAAGAGCATTAGCGCTGTCAATTCGTGTGTATACAGCGCAAGACATCAAAGTATTCGCAATTACATTGGAAACACTGACTCTATTACGTTGCAGATGAGTTGCGTTATGCATCCCCTCCACTTTACCGGCAGATATTTCATTACTAATCTGTCATCGGTGTGTTTACCAGTAAATTGAAATGTCTCTCTGTGTTCTTGTGTTTGTTTGCACAGTGGATCTGCAGTATGCTTGTGAATGGATTTATTTGTCAATAGTTTTGATCGAATTCCTTCTTAAATCAACATCAAAACCCATGGTATGTTTTTTCTCGTATTATTCTGTGCCCGCACGACTTGTTATTTCGTTCATGGAATTCGTTTAATTTCCGGTCAAACGAAATTTTCAATTTATTTGTTTCATCATCTCGCTTCACATCCGAAATGTAATAAAACTTTGCTGCAATTCTTTCTCGATGCCGTAAAATGTCGTTAAATTGCGAAATCAAAATGTTTCCTCTAACCCAATTGTAATCTTGATGCTGCAAGCATTTTCTTGGCTTGAGCTCATCGGTTATGTTACGTCTTATACATTTTCGAGTGAAAATTTCGAAGATGTTAAGGTAATGGTCAAGCGACGAGGGCCCAATGGAATCTCAGCAAACGGTATTCTCTGCTTGCGATTGTAAGACCAAATCCATTTTCAAATACATTACATTGCATTGCATTCCATCCACCAGTTTTTATGTATGTGCGTGTGTGTGTGTGTGTGCTGAACAAGCAAAACTCCATCGGCCAATATTACTGCATTGATAAAAAGAAAACGGGAGAGACGAAAGCACTCGAATCATCGAATCATGTGCAATGTGTGCATGGTTTTTGTCATCGATCCGATTTTCCCCAAGGCAGTGTCATTAGTTATTTTCCGTTGGATTTAGGACAGCACTCTTTTTTATGTGATTAGATTTTGGACGATTCTCTTTCTATGTCTCTCCATTATTATACAATTAAAACCTAGGGGTTTCATGCAACTTAAAATTCATCTAAAATTTCTCTCTTTTCTCTCACATTCTCTGGGATTCACCAAAATCCGTATTATTTCGAGATATTTTAACATTCACCTTGAGAATTATGTTCTGGAAGTGGGTTTTGGTGGATCTTCAGGATGGATCAGACTGGGTTTGGCAATGCCCTGGTCCATCCTGAGGATCCACTTCCAGAACCAGGAGCGGTTTTGAACAATCCTGAGGATCCACCAAAACCCAATTCCAGAATTTTTAGATTCAAAAAATTCTAAAAAATTCGAGTTTATGAATAAAAAGAAGCAATATCTATAGTTTACACATAAAATGGTTTTATTTCCAGCTATTTAGTAAAATCTTCGGCCTTCGAGTTTGCATGAAACCCCTAGATTAAAACCGCTCCAGTTTGAGGTCATTGAATCACAATACTGTCACCGGTCTTGGGCTAAACGTGAACGTGAACATGCACATGCAAGCGAACAATGTTCTACATTATGTTTCAGTAGTAACGAAATGCTATTTAGCTTGACGATAATTAATGTTACTTTTTCCAATAAGCTTTCGGTTTACCTACGACATGTTTTACGATGCGCACTCACTTTTTGTTCCGGAAAAAGGGGCATTTTTATGGTGCATACCAGCATATTTTCGAGCAATTGATATGAAATAAGTTTGTTAATAGCTTCGAATTTTATGCTGCAGCTTTCATCATCATTAAAACTGTTATAAGCGTATCGTTTTCACGATTTAAATAAACAATATGAAACAGGTGATGTGTTCGTCCGAGAAGTAAATGTTACATTGTTCGAATGCGGCTGCCCCAATCAACACATCCACTATCAATTAGTAAGTGATGACGAGAATATTGATTCACTTCGAAGGGATGATGTGTATAATTAATTTATGGCTTATCCAAAACTTTATATAACTAACTTATCCATAGATGAAGCATCATTCTAATAATTTCAGATAATCCCGAGGATCCTCACTTAACTGCACTATAATACCCAGCAACAATATTCTATGTGATCAAAGACCTGGATCATAATAATGGATTGATATTTTAGAGACTAAATTCATCATAAATTCGGATTAGTTCAACAAACGGTCTCCAGTTTAATCGAAACGCTCAAACAAACGAGTGAACATTGCCTAAACAATTCTTGTATATGAGGTCATTATTTGATAATAATTTTAAGACTCATTATTAAGCAATTACAGCAATATTCTTTCAACGCAACAAATGAAAGCTTGAATTAAAAAAAGAATGTGTTTTGTATAGGAAAAGTTGGCTATTATAAGACTGTTTCATTTTTTCTTTCGGAAAATATTTTTTTTCTACAAAAATGTTCATGCCAAATTCCAACTAGAGCCTAGAACTAACCGCAAATAATGAAGAGAACTTTACAAATAGTACTCATGGAATACCCAATTAAATTCGAAATCAATGTTAAATTTTTGCCAGGCTCAAACCTTTCATGACCGTCATAAGTGATTCAAAATCTCGTTTGACTCTATCATATCCGTCGCAACCGCAAAAAGAAATTCAGGGCCACAATGTGGAGTTCGCCTTGAAACCCCTTTCAATTCGACATAGTATGTGCTGACCTATGGTTTTCTCGATGCTTAAATTCCACAAATGATCCGGCGCAAATACATATATATGCTCACTACACTACGATACTCACTTGTTGTATAATACAATATCCGGTAACCAAATGTGTTCGGATGGTACATGTAATGTGTCGACACCGCCATAATCATCTGGATTCCATTTCAATTTGTAATCGTTCCATTCCTGTGTAGAAAGAGAGAAGAGTACATATAGAAATGTTAGAAAAAACGAGTTCAAATAGTAAAACCATATTAGTGAAGGAGGCAAAAAAAGTGCTGTGCCTCGAACGAAAACGGAAATTAAATGAACCTTCCGTTTGGCTGTTAGGCGATGTTTGCATATTTTTATGGAAATTGAAAAGCAGCACCATATTCATGCGCAATATTCGAGTCGTTTGGTCGGTTGCATACATCTGCTCGCTCTCTTTATCTCTAGTTTTTTTTTATATTCATATTCGTTGATAGTTTATCGTTGGATTTATCAGAGACTGGGTAATGTGATCTCCTACGTTGAACGCGAATGATTGAAATAGGAAGTAGGTAGTATTAATGTAATTTCACAACTTGAGGGATGTGCAATTCCCTTTGATGATGGACCCGTCGAAAAGTCTTTTTATTCGCTGAAAGCCAAATAGCTTTAAAGCGAATGACGAGCGATAGAGGAAAAAAATATGGTTCAATTTAGACTTTCCCAACTGGCGCTTTCTCTCATTTCTTTTCTTCTTCTTCTTTATCATCATCATCGTCATCGTCGCTTTTTGTAAACGTAAACAAGCCCCATGATGAAGTGAATTCAAAGCTTTCAAACTTTTTCATCGTGCAACTGAATGAAATTTGACATCATTTCTGCATTGATGTACTACTCCGCTTCAGCAGAAATCGCTCTGAAAATACGAGTTTGCATTCCATCGACATCGTGAAAATATTGAAAGAAAACTTTCTTTTTTTAAACTTTTGCTACAATTTTCTTTTTATCAATTACATGCACTCTTCTTTTGACCGTACTGACTCATTTAAAATGCAACGCTAAAACTTTTTGAAGCTCTCTCTCACAACTTCATAAATTTCCGCTACAAAAGAGGAGTTTTTCTGTTGAAAACGTCGCCTGTTTTGGTTATGTCGTCACCGAAAAAGGTCTGACGGACTAATTCAATAGCCTTGCTGATTGCTTCCAAAGTCTGATAATGATATTTTTATATTTTTATTGCTTGCCTCGTTATTTATTGCGGTCCATCGAAAAGACATGCAAATTGAATGGTGGAAATATTTGCAATAACGATGCAAAAACTTTCGACTGAATGCTTTTCGCATAAGCGAAAATCAGAATCACTAACATCAATTTTGTCGGGAGATGCGAGAGAGAAATGTTCAGTTTTTTTCTTTCACTTTTACGATGCTCGCTCTATTTCTTACACTCTCTTGTTCTCTCTTTTTGGATCCATTCAATTTTCGTGTTGGTGAAAGTATTTTATGCAAACGTTCGTTATCTCATTACGTGAGCTGTCTTCAGCTTCGAAGTGGATGTAAAGTTATAAAAGGATTTCAGTGTTCAAGGTGCTCGTTTCCACTCTTTCTCATGCTCTTGTCGAAGTATTGCAAAGAGCTTTCGGTATCAAAATCATACGGAATAAAAGTTTATATGCAAATGGAAATTTTAATGGATAGAAAAGTTAAGAAATAGGCTGAATGCCATCGATGTGATTGAATTTGTCGAATGTTGAAAATGAACTTGGAACGCATCTTCCAACGTTTCAAAATTAATGCCAAACTGAAGAGTTTTCATGTTCAACTCTTGAATATATTGTAGCATACGCAATAGACGAATGTAATGCCAAATGGGTCATCATTCGTAGTGGAACATCAACGACTCTTTCATTTTTCAATTAGTAAATAAAATGTGCGCCGTTTTTGATTTAGACAACACAATGTGAACAAAGTTTTGCTAAGCAATAGAGTAGAAAAGTAGCAAATATTCAACCAAGTACTTTCGATTATGCCGCTTAAATTGAAGTACATAATACCGTAAATGTGGATATCGTAAGTGATAGCTTTGTCTTCCTTTGTGCACGCCTATTGATTCTCAGCCCCGGAATATATTCAAGCGAACGAGTCGATTCAGTACGAATGTTTTCGATTTTACACAAAGCGAACAATGCATATTTGGAATAACTTTAAATTCCGGGCTTTATATCGGGAAAAAGTACACATATAGTTTGCCGAGAATTGTTTCTGTTGTGGTTTTATTTGATCACGAATGAATAGAGCATATTTGGTTGAAATTTCAGAACCGCTTCTATTGTTCTTATGAATATTTAGTCTTGTAAATATTTTACCCATATTTCGATAATCAAGATATACCCGTTGCATACGCAAACTTGATAATTTTGATTCTGCAGCCTATTTCACCAAATGTTTTCATGAAAAGTTTTCATGAGATTTTCTCCTCAAGTTTTTTTCGTGAAACAATTGTATCTAAATGTAGCAATGAGAAAATCTCAATAGAAAAGTGAAAATATTCTCATTTTTTTGACATTATTCCTAGGGGGATTTAACTACGTGAAAACTTGTAAAAAAAATGATATAAACGCGCACGAAATTGTTACATTCACCAGAGAACTTGCATGATTCCACTCAGTTGACAAGTTCCGTATTAAAACAACATGCGCGAACGCGCGCGAGTTCGTGTGCAAACTTGAAGCTGGACGACGCGCACACATCAGTCGTTCCATTTATTATATCTGGATTAACTTTTCCAACACTTTCTCCAGCTCTTTAAAAATATTTCCTTTGTCCATTTTATAATTATATAAATCTTTCAACTTTTGGAAAGGATGTGAAAAATCTTTATACACGTAAACAAGCAATTTTTAGTTTGAAACGCGTTTTGGTGGTCAAATAACAACTTGAAAAACGCGCAAAACCATAAACAAACTTGTGTAAACTTGTGACCGTGCGCGTCAGTACGTACAACGAACGCGTCGAACTTCCGCGAATCAAGCAAACTGGCAGAAAACATGCTGAACTCGTAAGAGTTAAATTCCCCTAGCATTATTCTGAGCGCAAATTTTAAATTTTCATTTATTTTTGAGCCAACCATGATGTGATCTCACATTTTTGTGAAAAAATCTCGAAATTTCAAGTTGGCGCTCAAAATAATGTAAAAAAAATGAGAATATTTTCAGGTTTCTATTGAGATTTAGATATATTTGTTTGACCAAAAAAACTTGAGGAGAAAATCTCATGAAAACTTTTCACGAAAACATTTGGTGAAATAGGCTACTGCATAGTAGTGTTCTTGGAACAGTGCCGTAATGTTGGTTAATCTTGTAAAATGAAATAAAATCCCATTTCTCCTATTACATTATAATGTGGGTTCGTACACGAACAAAGCGAATTTCATTTGCACAAAGCCAACATTGGCCATGGTCAACATGTAAACTGCAATGGATCACCATTTTGTAATAATCAGACTTGGTGTTACATTCGCTTTCTCACGAAATGATGCTATTACGAACATTAATGCAATATCGATTTCTTATAGACTGAAGATACACAAGATTAAAGGAGGAGCAATAGTTATCAAAACAAAGCGGTGCAAAATCTAGATTTTTCTATTTTTGAGAGAAGAGTGTCGGCCAACTGGAGTAAAACCACTTTACAAATTTCTGTATTAGCTATTGGATTTCCAAAAGAATCCCATTGATTTCAATTCTTGATATTGTTAATCTTGGACCATGATTCATGGTTGAACCACGAAAATAACAACTTGAAAAATGGTATTTTTGATGTCTTTCAACTATGTACATCATTGAGATTATAATCTCGCATGATAATTCTATAGAATTGGAATATCGGTTTTTGCAATGAAATTCAATTTAATTTCAATCGTCATGTGATGGATTTGATTTTGGGAAACCGCAATGTCCGATTCCGTTGTTAAGGGTTCAGTAGTTTGAAACAATGAACAAATATTGAGATGTTGGCAAACAAATCACATAGAAAATGTCCATAGTTAAATCCAAATACATTGTATTATGTGCAAATGACGTATTTGGTTTGAATTGTGGTCAAAATGAATGTGTCATCTATGATGTCGATGTTTGGTCACCTTTACACAAGTCCGTTCAGCTCTTGAAATATCAAGTGAAGCATGAATGCCCATCGAATGTAAGATTTATTAATTAAACCGATTTTGTCGATGGTATCTCTGCAATGATGGAACAAAAGCACATCAAAATGTCAAATCTCTTGCAAAACCACAATCAAACTGAATCACCAGAAATAGATGAACAACGATCGTTTCTGTTTCTATCTTTCGATATACAGAGCTTGACAGCTGTATGTTCAATCGAAGACGATTGTTACATTTGTATTTTAGATAATGGAGTCTACATCAATGATAGTCATGAATTTACTCTTGGCATGAATGACAGGTCATTGATATCTAAATCGAAAAATTGTCCGAAAACTACATGTCGCCCACATGTCGTACTATTCCGACCAATCGGCCCAATAAAATACAATTCGGGAAAATACGATCAACAATGTGTGATAACGAAATGAGAAAAACTAAAAAAAAAACAAACAAACAAAAACAAAACAGATTGGCCACAGTTGCTGTACAGTTCATTGTTTGGCAAAATGGTCAAGGCAGCTCTCGAACTGTGGAAATTCAAAGCGTATAAACGCAAAAGCTATTTATTATATGGTTATTGCATTACAGTCAATATCGATCAACACGAACCAAAAGACGAAAATTACTTTTATTATAAGACGAACCACATAGCACCCGGATTGTGCTGTGGGTTGCCAAGGCAACTCACATGTCATCAATTGGTTTGGCTTGTTCGCTTTATTTGGTTTGGTTTGGTTTGGTGCAATTCAGGTGAATTTCAATCGATAATAATCTTCAGAGAAACACTTTTATAATGGCTCTGCATGAATGACTGTGCTTTAAACAGTTTTGACGTTTCTACCTTTATGAACATAAAATCGAACACTCAATAGAAACGCTGCGTTCTTTTTCCTCTCGCAATCACACACATTCCGTTCAAAAGTGTTTTTTCAAAGAAAAAAAAAATCATAATTTTCCTGATTTCCATCGAATTGGTGAATGGTTTGGTATGAAGCATGCCATGCTAAGTGAATATGATGTTTGGTGACCGCGTAGTGAGAAATAAGAAG